AAACTTTTCTGAGAATATATAATGACTCGGCTTGGTATTTTCTACAAACTAATAAAATGCTGTCACAAATATATTGCTGCCTATACATCAAAACTTAAACCTATCACCTCACAGATTACTAAAGTTACTCATTCCACAGTTATGGGGAAGATTTTGATTTACTAATTGCTTATAGGTTGCCACACGTACAACTGCATTTTGACCCACTGGTCTTTTTTAGCAGCTTGTATTCATCATGGGAAAAGAGATTCAAATGAAAACTACCCTTCAACCCTTCTGATTCACAGAGGCAGGTAATTAACCACTGTTTCTGGATTTTTCTGTTTCTTTTTTCAGTCCTTCAGTATTCACATTTTAATTGTTCAAGAACCTGTGGATCATAATACCTTTTTAAAAACTGGTTGTAGCATGCTTAAATCAGGACCATTTTAACAGGAAACCAACGCCATTGCTCTGTGCCTGAGTTTCCCTCATGTGGGATGAGAAAGTGTCTTTCCAAATGTTTTGGAGCACAACCATTATCCCAGGGAGGAAGCTGGAGAGATCTGATCTCAGAAGGTGAAGATGAGTTACCTCACAGAAAATCATAAGTTCAATCCCTGGCAACTCCAAGAAGGGCTAGGGGAAAAACCTTGCCATTTGCCTTCCTGCCGCAGTGGTACCTATTTATCTACTTGCACTGGCGTGCTTTCAAACTGCTAGGTTGGCAGGAGCTGGGACAGAGAAACAGGAGCTCACTCCACCATGGGGATTTGAATCTCCAACCTTCCAATCGGCAAGCCCAAGAGGCTCAGTGTATATATATTGGGGAAAGTATACACCCAGGCATGTACATTAATGAAAATAATATACACAAATGCATTCTATTAAGGGAAACTGCTTGCCCAAATGTAGGTAAAAGGGCAAAATTACATTAAGAATGCTTATATTGAAATAGCTCGTTAACATGTTCATGCAAATCTTTTTTTTTTAAAAAAATTGCAAAATCAGGGTTGCCATACGTCCAGAATTTCCTGGACATATCCAGAATACTGCACTCAGTAGCAGTGTCCAGGTGGAAAATGGCAAAAAAAAAAGTCCTGTAAAATCTGGACATAAAAATAGCTCAACAACTTTGCCAAAAAAACTCTTTGCTCAACAACTTTTTTCTGTCTGGATTTTCACTGTTTGAAATATGGCAACCCTAGGAGAATGCATTGAATGAATTGAAGATCAGACATATGATAAATAATAGTTGTTATTATTATTACCATGCACTCTTCACCAGCAGGTCCCAGGATGGGTTACAACAATTTAAAACACAGTATTAAAAGGGTTAAAATAAATTACAGGGAAAAGATGGGTTCTGAAAGCACACATCTCAGGTGTCAAAAGTCAAGGTAGAGAGGTCCATCTTCAGTTTTCTCTGAGGGTGCCAGATGCAACTCTGCAGAGAAGGAATTCCATCACTGAAATTGACAAGATTTGTTCATCATTAGCATGATGAAACAACTGATCTAGCCATGTTTACAATGGGCCCAGCTGGTTATGCTGCAGAACCTGAGATGGACCCTAGGAGGAGCGAGTGCTGACAATCCAATAACCACAATTATTATTCTTCAGCATTTTACTGACATCTCAACTCCTCACAGGGGCCATAATTCCACACCGTGCATTAAAAGACACTCAGATATCATGAAGAATTACAATTACAGAGCAATTCTGTATCTAGCTTACTATTTATGATCGAATATGTCGATCTTTGCAGACACCAATTACTGGGGAAGTAGTCCATAAATCCAGGTTGCATATTAACATGCTTGTTCTTGGCCAGAAACCCCATTTTCTTTCATAAAGACAATTTGCTTTCCAGGCAACGGGACCTTGGGCTTGGCACAACGAGAAGTTTTTGGCATTCTTTCAGGATATTGCAATATTTCAAGAAATATTTCAAAAAAATATTCCTTTGAAATGCAATTATGATCTCGCCATCAATATACACTTTTTTGTGAGGGAAAAGAGGGAGGGGAACACACACTGGAAAGGTCATTCGAGGGGAAAAACATTCATTTTTTTTCAGACGAGAGCTGTCAGCCAATTAAATGCTTTTAATTGTAATTGTTCAGTGATCTGACTTTTAAACAATCAATCAATCCATTATATTTAGATGTATTTGCATATTGCAAAGCCACCGTAGATGTGTCTTTTTGCTGCTTCTAAAGCAGGGATGGGCAACCTGTGACCCTTCAGACACTGTTGAACTCCAACTCCCATCATTTCCACAGATAACCACCAATTATCAGGGATTATGGGAATTGGAGTACAGCAGTCAGTAGAGGACGACATGTTCTTCAACCCTGTTCTAAAGAAAAAAGTACAGGGCTGGATTTAGATTTGATGAGGTTCTAAGCTACTGAAAGCAATGGGGCCCTTTATATGTCCAGCTGTCCTTTGTCAACAACAAATTGTTGCTGTTTTTTATGTTGAATATATGCTATATGGTAATTTATGGACCTAATAGGTATCTAAAGCCATTTGCACATGCAGAATGTAGGCACCCTATATATAGAAATGAGCAAACCAGTGATATTCTAGCAGGCGGGGCCCGTTATTTACATCATAGGAGCCTACACAACACAAAACACTGTTGCTGTATGTAGGTTTTATTTTATTTGTTTTTTATCTTATATTTTGGAAATGTACACCCAGTTGTTTTTTCCCCTTTAAATTTTTTCGGGGCCCCCAAAAGAGTGGGGCCCTAAGCTATAGCTTGTTTAGCTTATACATAAATCCGGCACTGGCGTCACCTCAGGATTCCAAACTAGTATGAACGATTCTGTGATTCCCACCATCTAAATTTCTGCCTGGGCAGGAATTCCAAATTAGAATATCTTTCCCCCCCAATGCAGAACTGATACGTTACTGCAGCGAATGGGACACCTTTGGCACTTCACATATAGATAGACAACAACTCCTGTGATCCCTGGCTATTGGTCATGTGAACTGATGCTCAGGGAAGCTAGAGTTTGACACCATCTAGACAGCCACACTTTCCCCCATCCCTGCATTTCTTTCATGGCACACACTGGGGCTCCTTCTTTGGGCTTGTTATTTTTGCTGGCTATCATATTATATTTACCCATAATGGCCTGGTCATTGCATCATTCCAGAGTATGGTAAGAAAGAAAGGTTGTTTCACTGTTGTATACCTTTTTCTTTTTGGTAGTGGCTAATTCCCCACCAAGGGACGCGGGTGGCGCTGTGGGTTAAACTGGAGAACCTAGGACTTGCTGATCAGAAGGTCAGTGGTTCGAATCCCCACGACGGAGTGAGCTCCCATTGCTCGGTCCCTGCTCCTGCCAACCTAGCAGTTCGGAAGCACGTCAAAATGTAAGTAATGCAGCGGGAAGGTAAACGGCGTTTCCGTGCACTGCTCTGGTTCACCAGAAGTGGCTTAGTCATGCTGGCCACATGACCCGGAAGCGGTACGCTGGCTCCCTCAGCCAATAAAGCGAGATGAGCGCCACAACCCCAGAGTCAGCCACAACTGGACCTAATGGTCAGGAGTCCCTTTACCTTTACCTTAATTCCCCACCACTACCACCAACACAATTCCTCAGAATGATATGGTGCCTGGGGCATCTGAAATAAAATGGAAGCTTCTATGAACAGCTAATTATTGTTGTTGTTGTTAATAATCAATCAATCAATCAATCAATCAATCAATTACATTTGTATACTGCCCTATACCTGTAGATCTCAGGGGCAGTTCACAACATAAATTAACAATATAAAAAACACAAAATGCATAATAAAAACAAAGGCAAAGGCAACCCCTACTGTTTCCGCCACAGGATAAAACTGCCCTACCAAACAATATGATTGAGGAAAAAGGGAGCCCCGAGTAGCAAAGTTATTCATACCTCTGTGGATTAATTAACAAATGAAAACTGAAACCAGGTGAATGTGCCCCATGTCAATTACCAAAGTGTAGTTTGCATCTTCTATTTCTTCCTCTTTGGTGATCACTTGTAGCCAAGTAAGACTGTCTTCCATGAACACAGTTTTAACAGTGAGTCCATAAGTGACTTTGGAGGCCAATTCTGGATCCACACGTCCTTCCACAGTGGGGACATAGGTTTCTGAACGGAAGTCGATCATGGTGAGGATTTGCCAAATGTACCTTCCTCTTAGCTCGTTTCTCCCTTTCATCCTGAGTTTGAGTTTTCTTCAAAGCCCATGACACCTTTGGTAAAGGCTGTTCTCCAACTAGAGCACTTGCAGGCCAGTGTTTCCAAATTGTCAGTGTTTATACTACATTTTTTTTTTCCAGATTTGCCTTGAGAGAGTCTTTAAACCAGTTTTGTTGAACACCAGCATTATGCTTTCCATAGTTGCTTTGGAAGATGATACTCAGGCATCCAAACAACATGACCAATCCAACGAAATTGATTTTGAAGAATCATTGCTTCAGCACTGGTGATCTTTGCTTCTTCCAGTACTCTGGTATTAGTTCGCCCATCTTCCCAAGTGATGTGTAAAAATTTTCGGAGACACCGTTGGTGGAATCTTTCCAGGAGTTGGAGATAGCATTTATAAGTGGTCCATGTTTCACAAGCATACAGTAAGGTTGGTAGTACAATAGCTTTGTAAACAAGCATTTTGGTTTCCCTGTGAATGTCCCAGTCCTCAAACACTCTGCACTTCAATCAGGAGAAAGATGCACTCGCAGAGCTCAGGCGATGCTGGATTTCGGCATCAATGTCGGCCCTTGTGGAAAGATAACTACCCAGGTAGGAGTAGTGATTGACACTTTCCAACATTACACCATTGAGTTGGATTTGTGGCACTGCAGAAGGGTTGTTTTGTGCTTTTTGGTGCAGCACTTTGAGACCATACAAGCACAGAATTCTAACCATTTCCCACAAAGGTCATAGGATGCTGCCTTGGACCACTGCTAAATCTAGCTTGATATTGTCTACACTGAGTAGCAACAACTCTCCACGGTTCCCAGCCCCACCTGGAGATGCGAGGGATTGAACCTGGCATTTTCTGAATGCAAAGCAGGAGCTCTACCAATGAGCCACAGCCCTTCCTAAAAGTTCTGTGCTTCTGGGGGACATTTCAGCAAGGCATTCCGTGCTGTTTCAGTCTCAGTGATGGAGAACAAGGAGGAGGGAAGCAGCAGGAAGCAGTAGCAGAGTAATATGGCTGTTGGGGAGTGGTCCTGTCCTGACTATCCCTCTGTAGCTTTCCTGGGCCACCTGCCTCCGTTTCTTTGCTCCACTTCCTTCCTCTTTGGCCTCTGATGCTACTTAAGCGAAAACCCAACTATTTGTGGATTGAGGCCTGAGGTGAGCAGTGGTGGCAGAGCAGGATAGTTGCTGGGGAGCTGTCCTGTCCTCTCCTGTCTCTTCCCCTGAAGCCCACCCATCCTACCTACCTGCATCTCCCACTTCTCCTGTCCTACTTCTCACTCTCCAACTCTACTGTGATGACCCAGCAAAGCTGAACAGCTCTTGGGAGTCTGTCACCCCACTGTATTTCACAGCGCCATCTCTCAGCGACCACACAAACTACAGCATGATAGCAGTCTTACACATATAGGAAGAGATACAGGTGTATGTACACACACACACACACCTGGACTTATTTCAGGAGACTTTGTGCCCTAATTTGAAACCTGAACTTCTCCGAAACCAGCAATGTGTGTCAAACTTCTGCTTTCAGCTCTACTTGAAAGATTCCTGAATGAAAAGTCAGCTCCTTCTGCACTTTGATGCAGGTATACTGAATGCACAGCATGAATCAAAGGGGCTCTGTGGTATAAGCCAAAAGTCATACAGAGAAACAGATTGCCAGTCAATTTGAGAGCACAAAGAATGGAACGGGCTGCCTCTTCTTCCCTCCAGTACACTCAGGGAAGGGCTTTAGGGCGGATGTCCTGGGACCTGCTCAGGAAAATGAACAGAACGGACCCAGAATGCAACAGGGCATGCTTAGCACATTTTGAAGCGATACACTGTACTTTAATTTTTTTAAAAAAATTATTGATTTTTTTTCCAAATATACATTTCCATCATTAAATATCCACCATTGTAGTTGTACATTCATCGACTTCCCTTCTTCCCCTTCCATGGTTTTTTAAATTTTCCCATAATTTCTGCATATTCTAAGAACAAAAAATAATAATAATTTATTCCCCTCCCCCATTATATCTCTCTACTGTGTGCTATATTGTTGAATTTACCTTAATCCTGCTAGTATTTTCACTTGCTTACAGTTATTTTCCAAATATTCCACAAAGATTCCCCACTCCCCTTTATATACTTGATCTTCTTGCTCTCTTACTCTGCTGGTTAGGCCTGCTAACTCTGCATATTCTATCATTTTAAACTGCCATTCCTCTTTCTCACTCCACTTTTGGGATAACAAAATCCCAGCTCCTATAGTTGCATACATAAATAAGTTTTTTTCTGGCTCCTGGACACTTCCGTCTGCACCATTCCCAGATGAAATGCTTCTGGGGGGATGTTTTTTAAAAAAACTTTTAAAAAATCTCATTATATATCATTTTCCAATACTCTTTAACTATTCTGCATGCCTACCAAATAAGCCTTACTTTCTAACAGAAGAGGGTAAGTCTGTAAGAGCGCTGAATCCCAGATTCCAACATTACTGTAGGGCATCACTGTTGCTTTGTGCAATAGAAACCCTGGAAGGGAGCCACATCCAGAAGTAAGGAAGTAAGGATGCCTTCTACTCATGGACAATCTCCTGGGAAGGGGTGGTGCATGCTAGCAGTGGGTGTGGCCATGGACAAAAGTGGGTGGAGCCATGGATGGGATAGCTTTCTACAGTAAGCACACAAAAGCCAAGAGTTTTTCCACACACATTCCTCTCTGTCCTCCATCCAGGCAGTGCCACAATTAAAGGACACACTCCTGCCAATCGAGGAAGGCAGGGCCAGTGAAGAGGTGAGGCCTGGCAGGGCGTGTCTAGTGAGAGTCCCAAGAACTAAATAGAGAAACCTGGAGAGCTGCCTTCAATCTTTAGGCCTCTGTGTTGCAGGAAGCATGATGGTGCCGTGTGGCTGTCCTGCTAACCTGGCCTCCCTCCTGCAGAGTCCCTGCTACTGGTGGGGTGAGGTGGTGTTGAGGTTGATGGAGCACCAATGTGGTAGAAGGAGAATGCTTGCATGGTGCAAACATTGGCATGGCGCAAACATCAGGTCTGCCAGAGTGTTTGCACCATGCCAAACTTGCAGCTGCTTCCTTTCTCTCCTGGTATGCAGCAGCGACTCAGCTGGAGGAAGGCTGGCCAAGTGGAAGAACCCCATTGCACCATCCACTTGTAGTGGCAAAGCCACTTCTGACCCTAGGGAGGCTCACAGCCCCGTGCGTACAGGGGAATCCTCTGCCGCGTCATCCCCTGGCCAGCCTATTGGCTGGCTCAGGGGGCATGGTTTGCCGCATTTAAGGCAAGCGCGGCAGAGGAGCTTCCTCTTTGCCGCCGATCAGCTGGGGAATCTCCCACCCACCCTCCCTTTAAGGTTTATCTTTGACCTTGCTATGGACTTTGGTTGGTCACCGTTAAGGGGCCTGGTAGGAATTTTTCCACTTGGCAAATTGGCACCGGCCATTGGGTTTTTTTGCCTACCTTGTAGCAAATTGTCACAACTTCCACGGTTTGGCGGTGAGGCCTTGGTCAGGGTATTGTTATGTAGTTGGGGGGGGAGTGCCATCACCTCCCCCGGTTGTGAAGGGTAGTCCGGTAAAGGACTCCGGGGGGGGCGTGGCCCCGTCCGAAGCCTAGGGAGGCCAGGGCCCAAGGAACGCCCCTGAGCGGTGACCCCAGGGGAGTGCCTGGATGATGTGCATCAGCAGGGCTCCCCCTGCTGGTGTTAACCCTTCCCGGCCTCTCAGGCAGACAGCCTGAAGCCGGATAGTTGATTAGGACCAATGCCTAGGCCAATACCACTCAGCACCTGTAACCAATAAAGTTGTGGCCAATTTTTCGCCCATTAACCTTAATTATGGTGTCTTGTGTCATTATTTCTTCTGGTGGGAGATGGGAACTCGCCACGTAAAAAACATGAATGATTCTAACCAGCAATTCTGATGACCACTCATGGGAAACCACAGGCATGGAGGCTGCTTTTGTACTCAGATCCTGCTTGCAAGTTTCCCCGCTGAGCATCTGGTTGGCCTGTTCCAGAAAGCTCCTCTTATGTTCTTGGGTTCCATTCTTGCCTTCTTTGTTACTGGGAGCGAGGAAGGCGGGTTACCCAAATGCATTTGGGGGATGTAAGCATGCCACTGTAAGGTCTGCTCCCTTTCTCCACGAGTCCTCTCCTCTAGCATGCAAAGGCATGCACAACAGAAAGAGAGGGAGATGGGTGCAATTTTTTTGCATACATTTCAAGCCTTTGCTGAAACTGAAAGTGTGTTTGGGTGGGGTGGGGGGATGTTGTGCAACATTGCTACTGAAAAGCAGAGCAGGGGAGATGGAGGAGCTCAAGAGGAGGGGTAAAGAGGAGGAAGAGTAGAGGAAGGAGGCCTCTATACAAAAAGAGAGAAAGAGAGAGAAGCTTAGCCTGATAAAATATTTAGGACGGGCTCACGCATCAGAATATTAATACTCTGCATTACTTGCGCTTGCACTCTGTTGATCTTCATTCTCCAGTGACCTTGTTTACAGTATCTGAATTTGCAGTCTGCATTTTAATAAGGCCCTGGGAGAAGGTCTGAGACACAGCGTCTCACTGAACCAACTTCAAAAACCTCCTCTGACTGGTTAAAATTCTGAAGGATGGGCAAAAGACTCAGGGGACATGGGGTGCTTTCCTTGCAGAGAGCAAAAGACTGAAAAAATGAAGTGGGGGCTTGTGCCCAGGGTCACACACCAGGTGGCGCTCTAGCCAGCCTTTCCAGTGGTGGTGGGAGAGGGGGGGAAGGGAGCAAGAGCCAGATGGGTCCCTTCATCTCCTGAGTGCTGTGGGGGCTCAGATGATTTATTTGATTTTATTTTCTTCTTCTCTCTTTCACTGACTCAGAAAGAGATTGGCAGCCCTTGGAGTGGAATAATCAATGCCAGAATAATTATCAATCTACACTTCGCCCCCTCGTCATCACCAGGTGACACAAGGGGAAAGGGGGGGAGGAATCAAATGTTCCCCACACTCAGCTGCAAAGCCACAAGTGACAGGGAACTGCCAAAAGGCAAATTTCCTCCTTCTCTCCCCACTGCCCACCACAAGGGTGCTTAACGGTCCCTAAATAACACACCTCCTGGCCACCCAAGGAAATATTGGGCTCACTTGCGTATGTCGTGAGCACATGCACACCAGGGCAGTGTGCTTGGCCTTGATTAAATTATGATGTTGATTAGACTTTTGCTGTTGTCATTGGATACTGATATTCGATTAGGGGAGACGCCGTACCCTGCCATCAAATATCTGAAGGGTTGTCACAGAGAAGATGGAGTAGGCTGGTTCTCAGTGCTGGCTGGTGGCCATTGGGATTGATTGGGCAGAAGGCAGGGAGACCAACGCTAGGTCTAGTCAGAGACAATGAGTAGGGTTGTAGACTCTATGGCAGGCATAGGCAAACTTGGCCCTCCAGATGTTTTGGGACTACAACTCCCATGATCCCCAGCTAACAGGACCAGTGGTCAGGGTTGATGGGAAGTGTAGTCCCAAAACATCTGGAGGGCCGAGTTTGCCTATGCCTGCTCTATGGGGAAGGGCTGTAATACAGAAGGCCCCAGGTTTGATTCTCAGCATCTCCAGGTAGGGCTGGGAGAGGCTCCAGCCCAAAATCCTGGAGAGTCCACTGCCAGTGTAGAAAATACTAAGCAAAATGGACCAAGGATCTGACTTGGGATAAGGCAGCTTCCTATGTTTTTTCTAGTAAGGAGGAGGAGGAAACTGTGTAAGTAAGTAGGCAGGCATGTGTGAGAGCAGGCTGAGCTTGTTGGGGCAGCCCCCCTTTAGCCCCAGTGGACTAGCCTCCACTGCCAGTGGTTCTTCATTGCTCCATAGAGTGTGCTATGATCAACATCACTCAGGTCACTTCCCAGTTTGGTTTGAAATCCAACCTGCAGGCAGGACTCTCCCCCGTCTCCCTCTGTCTCCTTGGCAATATTTCTCTTCCCCTCTCCTCCCATCCCAGGTGCCTATACTACTGGCATGGCAATGTTCTGGGCACCAGAACAGCAAGAGGAGAAAGACCTCCCTTTTGCTTGCTCCCAAGGTGCATAGGGACCAAGAGAGAAAGGAGGAGGAGGTGAGAAAGAGAGATTGCTGCTACAGCAGCGGGAAGACCAGCCCTACTATTAGGTAGAGTGAGGGAGGTGACTGCCTCGGGCGGCAAATATTAACGGGTGGGCAGCGGCATGACAAAACACTGGAGGACAAAGACATAAGCCAAAGCTAGCCTGCTGCCCTCAGGTCCAGTTGAGGACACTGCCCTATTGTCTGTGTTGAAGTAAGCTTCAACTGCGAGTCTGCTGAGCTTCTGTGCATAGAACAGAGAACAGCAACGTCTTGCCTCAGGCAGCAAAATGCCTTGTGCTGGCTCCAAGGGGGGAAGCATTGGCAAGTGAGGGGATTGGGGTCAGTCAGTATGAATCCTTTTAGAAATCAAGGTGGGGTGAAAGCACTCTCTATTTTCAGCTGAAATTGCCAGATCTGATCCAAATCGTGTAAGGAGGGCAAGGGTAGCAGTTCACCCACCGCTAATTACAATCAGACGAAACCTTCTTTGAATTCATAGTGACTTGCTCCTTTGCTCAGGAATGTGGCTTCCTCCAAGATCTAGTTCCACAAACCTGATTAAGGTCGGGGGAATCTCCCATCTGAATGTCCTACAGTGTGAATTTAAGCAATCTTGTAATTTCCTCCCTGGCTTATCAAGGAAACTGCCCACTGTGCAGGAAAACATCAGGATACGATTGTCCCAAGTTCTCCTCCATCTCTGTATTTTGATTAAAATTTCTCTGTGGGGGCCAAACTTCAAGAGAATCCATTGTTTTAACATGTGCCCTCCCCTCTGAAACTGCAGGCTTGCTGCTCGATAAGACTTTCCATCAAGGCAGCCCCTGCACAGCCCCTTGGCGTCTTCCGTTTTGGTCATGACAGCAGAGAGTCCCAGAGGCATAGGGACATGCTGAGACAGAAACCAGCATGATCTAGGCCACTTGCAACTTCTGAATGGAAAGCAGCTTATCTACCCAATTCATCTGTTTAGGAGTTAAGTTATATGTGGCGTTTGGCTTTTCAGAGCCCCCTGCCCCTTTTCTTTGCTTTGCTGGTTTCCCCTCCACCCAGCTTCCTTTTTGTATCTCTAAGAATTTATTTATATTTATAGACACGTGTACAGACATAAATAGTTTGAATAGCTAAAATAGCTCAGATCATAGATCGGGAAGGGACCACAAGCATCATTTACTCCAACTCCCTGTAAAGCATCTTTCACCCAATGTGGGGCTCGAACACACAACCCTGAGATTAAGTCTCATGCACTGTCAACAGAGCAATAGAGGAAAAGCTCAAATATCAGCCCATAACCGACATTTTATGGGTAGCTGATAAGGAAAGCCAACACAGTAAAACAATCAGCATAACAACAGAAACTGTGGATAGCAGCAGCATCCAACAGAGTTGGAGAACCTTTGACCTTCCAGGTGTTGATGGACTCCATCTCCCATCAGCTCCAGCCATTGTGGCCATTGATCAGCTATGCTGGGAGTTGTAGTTCAGCAACATCTGTAGGGCCAAAGGTCTTTATGGCCTTAAGTCAAGCCAGGATGAATGGTCAACACTAGGTAGCCAATGCATGCTGGATTGCTGAGTAGGACACATATTATTCATACAGAATGTGTTAAGAGTCAATCTCTGCCATCTCCAGTTGATTTGAGGGGAAAGGGCTGGGGAAGACCTTGTGGGAGCTTCTGTTAGTCACATGAGACAACTCCGTGGACTAATGCTCAGACTCACCAAATGAGAAGCTCCATGTGGCCCTTTGTCACATGACAATGCTAAATGTCATGGGTAGACAAACTAAGGCCCGGGGGCTGGATCCGGCCCAATCGCCTTCTAAATCCAGCCCGCGGATGGTCTGGGAATCAGCATGTTTTTACATGAGTAGAATGTGTCCTTTTATTTAAAATGCACCTCTGGGTTATTTGTGGGGCATAGGACTTCGTTCATTCCCCCCCTTCAAAATATAGTCCAGCCCCCCACAAGGTCTGAGGGACCGTGGACCGGCCCCCTGCTGAAAAAGTTTGCTGACTCCTGCTATATCTGTATAGGTTCTCAGACCATCAGGTGTGTGCATGGTAGCTTAACTATAGTCTCAAATAGCGATGGGGAATCTGTAGGCTGTCAGATGTTGTTGGACTTCAACTCCCATCAGCCTCAGCTATCCTGGAAGAGGACATAATGAGCTGGCCTGAACCTGGAACAAGAGCTTTAAACACTGTAACAGTTTGTTGCAGGTAGTAGTAGTAGTAGTAATAATAATAATAATAATAATAATAATAATACCTCACATTTTGTCCAGTGAGTCAAGGTGTTGTACACATCACTTGCAGTGATGTTCGGTGTTTTATTTTGTTGGTTAATTGCATTTATATCCCTTCATTTTTATCCAAGGTGCACGTAGTTCTCCCTCTCTTCATTTTATCCTCACAACAACTCTCTTGTGAGGTTGGTTAGGCTGATGGACAGGGACTGGCCCAAGGTGACTGAGTGAGCTTTGTGACTGAGTGGGGATTTGAACCCCAGCCTCCTAGTTCCTAGTCTGACCCTCTAACCACTACGCCAGCCTGGCTCTCAGTTTGCACTTTGAAACAACAGGCCCCACTGGCTGCTCTTTAAAATGCATGATGCCAAAAACTCCCATCTCTTTGCACAAAAGGCAATGAGGGTTTGGAAGAGACAGAGGAAAACCATCTGAGCAGATTCAGTGGACTGAGGTTAATCCTACATTAATTTAACCGAAGGAGATTTTTCTGTCAAGCACTATTGGACTTCCCGGCCCTCCTGCCACACTGGTGTTCTCTCAGTTTTGAAATTCCAACTAGGATCAGAGTAAATATAGGATTAATAACAGATCCTATGCTATTTCACCCAAAGAGTGATGGAAAAGTCTAGATAGAAAACTAGCAGTTTTCAGGAAAGGGCTTCCAATATATTTAGAAACTTGAACTACAGGTCCTCTCATGTATGTGTACTGCATATGTACTCATGCAGAAGTGGGACTGTATTTCTGAGTGGAAACACATCTGTGCATTGCAAGGATGGCAGTGCAGCAGACCTAGGCAAGGACTAAGGATCAGTGCATCTCAAGAGGAAGGAAGGAAGGAAGGAAGGAAGGAAGGAAGGAAGGAAGGAAGGAAGGAAGGAAGGAGAAGAAGAAGAGGAGGAGGAGGAGGAGTAGTTTGGATTTGATATCCCGCTTTATCACTACCCGAAGGAGTCTCAAAGCGGCTAACATTCTCCTTTTCCCTTCCTCCCCCACAACAAACACTCTGTGAGGTGAGTGGGGCTGAGAGACTTCAGAGAAGTGTGACTGGCCCAAGGTCACCCAGCAGCTGCATGTGGAGGAGCAGGGAAGCGTACCCGGTTCACCAGATTACGAGTACACTGCTCTTAACCACTACACCACACTGGCTCAAATGCCGAGCACTAGATTTCCATGTAGGTGGTCCCAGGTTCAATTCCTGGCCTCTTTTGCTAAAGAGTAAGGTCTCTGCCTGAGACTCTGGAATGCTGCTGCCGGTCAGAGTTGGTGATGCTGGGCTAAGTGGACAAATAGCCTAACCTGGTAGAAATAAAGATGCTTCTGACTACCCCCCCCTTTAAAGACATTTATCAGTGTTTACTCTGATGTGTGAGTGCATGTATGAAATATTACTTGGGGGCCTGGTGGGGGGAAAGCCCAAAAATCTTCCTTTATTCATTGTTGCCTTTGCTTCAATCTCTGTTGTTTCAATCTCCCCCTCCACACACACTTTAGTGTGATCCCAGCCCATCAGGGATCATAGAGTGAGCATAATGACTTTGCCATGATAATGTAGCCAATCAGACACTCATCCTTCTAAAGGCTAGTGAAGTCAGTTGAGCCTGGGAAGTTAAAAGGATGAAGGAAACTTCATGATACCAAGCCAGGATTATTGGTCCACTGACTACACAAATTGGCAGGCAGCAGTGCTTTGGGGTTTTAAGGAGAAGTCATTCCAAGCCTTACCTGGAGATGCCAGGATTTGCACATGAGACTATAGGCATGCAATGTACCACTGGGTACAGCTTCAAACTCCATCACGTTGCCTTGGATGATGCCTCTACCTACTTGTTCCCACTTCCAGCCCATTCTGTTTATGAATAAGAGGTTATTTCAATCAGGCAGGCTCAGCTTGTGTTGTACTAATGACATCCCTCCCAATAGCTGCACCCATCCACATCACCCAATAACCAAAGTCTTCTGGGCAGCTACAGGCAGAAGACAAGTTGCACCAGCTAAAAGGAAGCTGTCTTCCACCAAGTGAGACCATCGGTACATCTAGCTCAGCCTTGTTGTCCACATTGACTGGCAGCAACTCTCTGGGCTCCCAAGCAGAGCTATGTTGAGCATAAGCACCCTTTCATATCTCCAGCCAGTGCGTCCCCTCCCTCTCCAGTGCGGTGTAATGGTTAAGAGCGGTGGACTCGTAATCTGGTGAACTGGGTTCGCTTCCCCGCTCCTCCACATGCAGCTGCTGGGTGACCTTGGACCAGTCACACTTCTTTCAAGTCTCTCAGCCTCACTCACCTCACAGAGTGTTTGTTGTGGGGGAGGAAGGGAAAGGAGAATGTTAGCCGCTTTGAGACTCCTTCGGGTAGCGATAAAGTGGGATATCAAATCCAAACTCTTCTTCTTCTTCTCTTCTTCTCCTGTATGAAGCAGCCATGAGAAACTAACTCTACCATGTAAGCTTAGAAACCCAAGCCATCCTGGAAAACATGAAAAATGGTAAGTACCTTGTCCCCCCCTCACTTTACCAATGGAGCCTCAGTGTGTTTTATTTCCTCTTTTAAGCAATGCCAGTGAGGTGACCACGAGACAGAACAGGTGAGCAGAGAGGGGCTGTACAGTTCCAGCTTGCCAGCTATTAACTCTGCAAGAAACCAACCCATTTTGCTTTTTAAACCCCAAGAAGCTGATGCTCTTGAGCTATGACCCTTCATTATAACTTAATACTGCCTGACACTGAGTCAGACAAGGGGTGAACTCTGGCAATATGGCTACCTGAGTGAGGACAAAATTTGGGGCCAGCTTGACTTAAGGCCCCCTTATTTTCAACTTAAATCTTTTTTTTTTTTTTGGCACAATGTCTTTTTTAATGGATCATCTCAGTAGGTACCCATAGAAATTTATTATTAATATTATTATTTTGCACCTACTCAGCTCAAATATTTTTTGGGGGGAGGAAGCTGCCCACCCCACCCCAAATCTGGTGCTGGTCAGATCATTGGTGCAACAAAATTAGTATTGTCTGCACTGACTGACAACAGCTCTCCACGCTTTCAGGAAGGGACTGTTCCATTCCGAGAGATGCCAGGGATTGAACCTGGAGCCTTCTGCACTCAAAACAGATGCTCTTTCAGAGAGCTGCAGCCCACCCCCCAAAGACAACTGTCAAAAGCCTAGGTGGCCTGCTATCTTCCTTTACATCTGATCACTCGGCTTTGCTTAGTAAAAAAATACAAAGGTTATTTGAAGCCTAACCCTACAGCCTGCAAAGTCTATGATTAACTCTGATGTGCTGCTGAGTTGAGCCATCCTTCCAGTTGCAGAAACGTGCAAACATTGCATGGTTACCCCAGGTTCCTCCAAATGTTTTATAGACTCGTGTGCCCCTGGGGGACTTTGGTTTGCCTGGATATGCCAGCCTGGGTGTAATTATTGGATGTGATAAATCTTGTTTCCAAGCAAAAATGAGTTAACAAACCTCCTCAAAGAGAGAAAAGCCCAGCACTGCTAAATTGGCAGTCGAGGAGGGGACGGCCAAGACTTTGTGCCAATCCCATCCTGATCCGCAGTACCAGCCAGAGGCAAAGGGAGAGGGGAGGGAAGTCCACTAGGACAAGTGCCATCTGGCTGCCAAACCAGTCAGTCCCCAAAAAACTCCCTTTCCATCGCACATCACAGCCAACATTTACGGAGGGGGAGGGAGGTCAATGGAGGCAGGTTAGCAATTGGAGTATCAAAAGGTTTCAGCAGACAAAGGAAACAAAGCGGCAAAACACAGCCTCCAAAGGCAAACCTGGGAGTGGGGCCAACCCTTCTGAACGGAACCTGCTGGAAAGTCTACTTGCCCACCCTCTTGCAAGAAGAGCCTGACGCTCAGAATGCCGGCAGTGCCAACCCTGCACCACCAGGGGGAGCTGTGATTGTTTCCACAGGGCAAGTGACTGTCGCCGCACAGCCAGGGGGTTGTGGAGAGAGGAAGCCTGCTGGAAGTTTCAAGTAGCCCTTGATTTACAGCAGAGGCACTTCAGAACTGCAGAGACGGCGGCGATGTCAAGAAACCGCCTGGAGAGGTGGGGAAAGTGAAGTTTGCTGAGAAATGCACGAAGCAACAGGTGCCGCAGCAGGTATACCTGCTGATCAGACCTAGAGCTCCTTTCTTAAATGCTGTACAACTTTGCAAATGCCTTCAAGAAAACTCCCTTCTTGGGCAGTGCATGCCTGGGCCCTGAAGTAACCTGCCAGAAACAACCCGTCACAGTGACAATTAGGGAGGGAGAGAAATTGGTTTCATCCACACATTTAAAGGTGAGCCTACCAGATCCACGTTTTCTGACCAAGTACACAAACTGAAACACGGCCCTCCTTTGATGTTCGCCTTTCCCCGAATTTTGCAACCCAGTTAGGAAGCCCAGTAATATGTGCAGAAAATTGCATATTCTAATAATATGCATACATCAGTGAAAACCAGTTACAGGAATGCCTTCTATTAGGGGGAAATGGCTTTGGAAAAATTCATATATTAGAAGAAATTCACACTAAAAGGCTGATGAAATGTTGTGCGGACAAAATTAAAAATAAACAGAAACTGATGTGGAAGCACAGAGACTGAATTTAAGATTGGGAAAATGAGGAACTGAGGGAACAAGCAGATGACAAACTATTGTACATTATTCTACTTTCTTTTCCTCTCCCCCCCCCCGCACCATAATAATAATAATAATAAATAATAATAATAAAAAAAAATTATACTCCCCCCATCTGGCTGGGTTTCCCCAGCCACTCTGGGTAGCTTCCAACAAAAGATTAAAAATACATTAAAACATCAGTCATTAAAAATTTCCCTGAACAGGGCTGCCTTCAGATGTCTTCTGAATGACAGATAGTTGTTTATTTGCTTGACATCTGATGGGAGGGTGTTCCACAGGGCAGGCGCTGCTACTGAGAAGGCCCTCTGCCTGGTTTCCTGTAGCTTCACTTCTCGCAGTGAGGGAACTGCCAGAAGGCCCTCGGAGCTGGACTTCAGTGTCTGGGCTGAACGATGGGAGTGGAGACAGTCATTCAAGTATACTGGGCCAAGGCCGTTTAGGGCTTTAAAGGTCAGCACCAACACTTTGAATTGTGCTCAGAAACGTACTGGGAGCCAATGTATGTCTTTCAGGACCAATGTTATATTGTCTCACCGGCCACTCCCAGTCACCAGTCTAGCTGCCTCATTCTGGATTAGTTGTAGTTTCCGGGTCACCTTCAAAGGTAGCCCCACGTAGAGCACATTGCAGTAGTCCAAGCAGGAGATAACTAGAGCAAGGCATAAAAGCCTTGTTTTTTGGTTTTTGCATTAGTAGCATGGATGAGGAGATGCAGTTCATTTGATATTTTGAGCTTTCCTACCAAATGCTTGGAGGGAGGAAAGCTTGAGGCACATAGGATTTTGGGATGGGGGGTGAGTGGAATTCATTTGCTCCACTTTTCACAGTGGACCAACCCTGTCAAACATTTCCAAACTTACTGCAGATTGGAACACAACTCTCAATTGGATGATGCACTTTCCCAGATTTTGTGATGCACTTCTGGCACATAAAAATGTGTGCCAAAATTGGGGTTTTAAGTAAAAGATGCCTGCAGATGGTGTGTTTTACTGTTGAGAGCTCTGAAAATTGCCCTGAGATCTACGGATGAAGGGCGGTATACAAATTTAATAAATAAGAATGATAAGGGGGCATTTTACGCTGCTGTCCCCCCAATGCGCTGAGCGCCATGCCCCCAGGACGTGTGCCATGCCCCTGTGGGCGGTGTGCCATGCCCCTGGGACACGTGCCAGCCCCACCCCCGGGTGCCGGAACATGAAGCTCCGCCACTGAAAATATGCACAATGATCTGGATTGAGAGAAAGCAGCACAGCAAGCAATGGGACAGGATGGGGTCAATGGGACAGAACTGTGGGTCAATGAGACCAAAGTGGGAGGCAATTAGCTCTTGAAGCCCTCACTAAACATCACGCCCATCATCTCTGACTGCTAGCCATGATAGCTGGGGCTGATGGGAGATGGAGTCCAACAACATCTGATCTGATCTGGGACATTGTGAGAAATCTACACCTGATCTGGGGCATTGTGAGAAATCTACATGGTGGCTATTCATGCGAAGGCTCAATTTTCTCTGGGGCCCTGGAGCAATGCAACATTAGGAGTACTCTGACGCATAGATGGAAATTAAAATGGCAGCTCCGAGGCAGCCCGTGCTCATTGGTGTGGGGGGCAACCTCTGCCGGGCCACAGGCTTCACGTTCTTGACCAAGGCTAATAGTAGCTACAGGTGACACCCATGGGAACTTTTTCTATTTATCTGTCATTTTCTGCAGTGCAGAGTGATTCACCCCCCCAGGGGACACGGGAGGACAGGGAATGGCTGGACTTGCTTCCCCGCTATGTTTTGACTCCAATCCAGATTGTACACTGCTGCTGTTGCTGTTTAGCCATTTAGTCGTGTCCGAGTCTTTGTGACCCCATGGACCAGAGCACTCCAGGGTCTCCTGTCTTCCTACACATGCTTTTTTAAAAGAGAGCTAGTGTGGTAAAGTGGTTAGAGTGTCCAGCTGGGACCTGGGAGACCAAGGTTCAAATCCCACTTGGGCATGAAACTCACTGGCTGCCCGTGGTCCCCAGTCTCATTCTAACCTATCTCACAAGGTTGTTATGGGGATTAATTGGGGAGAACCATGTACATCACCTTGAACTTCTTGGAGGGAAAAAGTGGGCTATAAATTCAACAAACAAACAATCAAAAACAGACCCAACAAATGATGCATTTAACATCGCATGCAGGCCTTCAGGTTCACCCCCAATATGTGCTTCTTCTTTTCTGTTTCCAACATTATTTTAAGAAACTGCAAGCTCAGAGGATTAATGCATGGATCATGCTGACCCACGCTGTGCTCACAGGCTTTTCTTCCACCAGCAACCGAAATTGCAACCCTCTCGATCTCAGGGCCAAAATCAAAGATGGAAACGGACTCCTGCCAGAGAAGCTCTCTCAAAGGGTATAATCAGCCTCCTCCTGCCCTTTCTGTTGTGTGCCACGCTTGCGACTGCCTGTGCCCATCTCCCCGCTGCTCCCCTCCTCCTCCTCCTCCCCTTCACGCTCGAAGGGGGGTGCGCGTGGTGATTTATTCTGGAACATTTCTTGCCTGTTGAAAGCCTGACCTCAGATCGGGTGAGATGACACCGGGAAGATGTACGAGTGTCTCTCAGCAAAAGTGCATCAGAGAAATTGACCGTGAGCTGCCATCAATCTGCTGAGCCTGAGTGACACCGAGCAACAGATGGGGAATTTGGGGACCTGGAGGAATTCTGCGAAGGTCGCTGGGGAGCTGACTCAGCCTTCGCCAACCGCCTCGGCTATCAATCACAGCGGCTGGGGGGAAAGGGAAAGGGAGTAGAGGCTGATGGAAATCTCCTGTGCTTGGCTTCTCCAGCACCCTCCCCCTTTAAGAGAAAGGATGTAGATCAGTGGTTAGAATATCTGCTTTGCATCCAGAAGGTCCCAGGTCCAACCCCTGGGATCTCCAGGTAAAGCCAGGAATGTCCTCATTCTATATGTTGTCAATCATATGTTGTCAGTGCAGAAAATACTGAGCCAGATGGACCAATGATCTGACTCCGTATGAGGCAGCTTCCTATATGGCCTTTAATCTCTACAAAGAAGAACCTAAGACCCTGCTGTATCAGTGGGCCAGTGGCCCATCTGGTGAAGCATCCTGTTCTCACAGTGGCCGCACATGTTTGGCAAATCAACTCCTGCCCGGAAACGAATGTCCCCACTGTGGAAGGACGTGTGGATCCAGAATTGGCCTCCACAGTCACTTACGGGCTCATTGTTAAAACCGTGTTTATGGAAGACAATCTTATTCGGCTATGAGTGATTGCCAAAGAAGAAGCAGAAGCTGATGGGTCACAGCAGGATCAATGCAGGAGCTGAGCACATCTAAGGCTGGTGTTGCCTGCTACATTGATGAAGGGCAATAGCTCTGTGGTTAGATCACCTGCTTAAATGCAGAAGCAGGGCCTTTTTTCTTAAAAATTTTTTAAAGAAAATTAGGGGTACTCTCATTTTGGCTCCTCCTCCCCCCAACCCCCGGGGGATGAGGGACTCGAGGCCCTGAGAGGACGGGGAGGCCCCTGGTGATGGCGATGGCAGGGTCAGCTTGAGCGAGGAGGGGTGAGTGTTCACCGGCTGGCTCTAGCCCAGCAAGAGGAGGAGGAATGCCGTTGCTTCCAACGCGGCTGCCCCAGACTCCCCTCCCAGGCACCAACGGGAAGAATGATGGAGCTCCAGTCCATGCTCCTTCTGCAGAGACAGCTGGCATGTCAGTTGGTCCATCGGGGGTCCAGACAGTCGGGGCAACACAAACTGTTCAGGGGTATGCGCCCCCCTGCGTCCCCCCAGAAAAAAAGCACTGCACAGAAGGTCCCAGGTTGGATCTCCAGCATCCCCAATTAGGAGCCCGAAATGCCTCCTGTTGTGATGCTGCCAGTCAGTGTAGACAATACTGAGCAAGTGGACCAATTGGCAAAAGGCCAAGCTCCTATGTTTAGGGCTTCTATTGCTTCCATTCTTTTCAGAATTAAAAGAAGAGGACAAGAAGGAGGAAGTTTGCTAAATGCCCAAGGTTGAAAAATTCCTTTTAAAAAACTGCAGTGGTTGAGACTGATTTAGTTGCACCCTCCCTGCAACTAAATGGGCCACAAATTCCTTAGGAGCAGCTGCTTTCCCTAGGCATTGGACCTCCTCACTTCCATCCCATCTGGAGCCATTGAGAAGAATTAGAATGTAGATGTGGGGCATTATGGGGTTGCCGGAGACAGTCATTAAGAGATTTGGGGTACACAGAGTCAGAGTGAGCAACACGTTCAAAAGCTTTCCTGTACTGTGGATGTCAGAGCTCTCCTGCTCCTCTTCCGCCTAGTCAGCCATTTTGCATTTTGCTTCTGGGAATTGCAAAGGATGGTCGGTGGCTGTTATGTCGAGTGACGTGACAGCAGCTTGAAATAAGCCAGGGCTGAGGAACCTATGCCCCTCTATGGACTACAAATCCCATCATCCCTGACCGTTTGCTGTGGCTGATGGGAATTGGAGTCCAACAACATTTGAAAGGCCATGGGTTCCCCAGCTCTGTTTTAAGTCAAGAGAAGAACAAGAATTTGCGCAATAGCCTTGGAATACTTAGAGAACAAGGCAGAAGATGATGAGACGAAGGTGCCATCTACACTGTACATTCAAAGTGGTACCGTAGCACTTTAAACAGGCATGGCTTCCCTGAACAACTCCTGGGAGCTGTAGTTTGTTAAGGGTGCTGAAGCTTGTGAGGATACATCTATACCCTTCACAGAGCTACAGTTCCCAGAGTTTCCTGGAGAAAGGGCTTGATTGTTAAACCAGTCTGGGAATTGGAGCTCTGTGAGGGAAATAGGGGTCTCCTAGCAACTCTAAGCACTTGTAACAAGCTACAGTTCCCAGGATTCTTGGAGGGGAGAGTCATGGCTGTTTAAAGTGCTGTGATGGGGCTTGAAATGTATAATGCAGATAAGACCTAAGCTGGGCTAATGCAGAAGGAATTATATCATATTTTCTCTGACCGACTCAAGAGAGGAGAGGAGGTGTGCGAGAGAGGGAGATGGTCAGGGGCATCCTATTGTCTTGGATATTGTGGCTTTGTTCCCAGTTCTGTGTTCATTATAAGCAGGACCTGCAGTTCAGAATGTTCCCCTTGGGGGCCATTGAGAAGGCCACATAGACCATGCGGAGAAATGCTCTGAGCACGCTGGGCAGCCACACACTTCACCCTGGCCGATTTTGTTTTCAATTAAGGAAAACAGCGGCGCCCAAAAGGAGCACACAAAAGGCGAAATCTCCAGGCCCCGTCGAAAGGAAATGAGAGCACCGAGAATTGCAGAGAGAGAGAGGTGGACTGGGTTATGTAAAAGCAAGCCGGCTAGCAACTGATCATGGCAGGCTCTCCTTGCGAGATTCCCAGGGCCATCTGGCCAGTCAACATAGGAACTATTATGTCCTGGCATAGAGAGCATCTGAAGCTGTGTTCTTATAGCAAGCCAAGCTGATCATGTATCCAGAACAGTACTGTATACTCAGATTAGCATAGGCGCTCCTGTGTCTCCCATCACCTAGTAATTAACCCTTTTGACTGGAGACAGACTAGACACTTAGGCATCACCCAAAATGCACGCGGAGGGGGTGTTGCTAAGCTGTATAGATTTGCTTAAAATGTGTATATGCTAAATTAGCATAGATGCAAATAATTATTAGGACTATATACACATTAGGACTATATGACTTGTACGCCGGCTCCCTCGGCCAATAAAGCAATATGAGTGCCGCAACCCCAGAGTTGGCCATGACTAGACCTAATGGTCAGGGGTCCCTTTACCTTTACCTTTTACAAGGGACGCAGGTGGTGCTGTGGGTTAAACCACAGAGCCTAGGACTTGCCGATCAGAAGGTCGGCGGTTCGAACCCCTGCAACGGGGTGAGCTCCCGTTGCTTGGTCCCTGCTCCTGCCCACCTAGCACTTTGAAAGCACGTCAAAGTGCAAGTAGATAAATAGGTACTGCTCCGGCGGGAAGGTAAACAGTGTTTCCATGTGCTGCTCTGGTTTGCCAGAAGCGGCTTAGTCATGCTGGCCACATGACCCGGAAGCTGTACGCCGGCTCCCTCGGCCAATAAAGCAAGATGAGCACTGCAACCCCAGAGTAGTCCGCGACTAGACCTAATGGTCAGGGGTCCCTTTACCTTTTACACAGCCCGCCTCAACCTGATCCAGGCCCCCCAACCCCCGGGCCCAGATTGGACTGACCCAGGAGCCACCCACCCCATCTGGTTCTGTAACTGTGAAAAAATACCCCTGCAGGACTGAACCCTCCTGCTCTTGGTCAAGACCAAAAGTAGGGGGTCCGTGTGCTTTTTCAACTAGTTAAAAGCACAGCACAGGATTGAATCTTCCAAAGCTGTTGAATGGAGGGTTCAGTTCTGCAGAGTGCTTCCCCGAGCAGAGCCCTGTAGCTTCTCGTACCTTCTCAACTGACATTCCTTCCCATCCAATGCCCCACTCCTTGGTAGTCCCTGATTACTCCAGTTGATCCAACCCAGGGCGATCTAGTCCAACCCAGTTAGACTGGATGACTCTTTGGCTCTCTTCCAACTCTACAATTCTATGATTCTATGATCCAGGAATATCTCCACCTGACTTAGACTAAGCCTAGATCCTGCACCCACCAAATCCACCTGATTCTGTTCAGGATTCAGGCTGTGGCCAAATCCAGTGCACAGCCCTAATAGTTACTGTTATTTAAATAGAAATGCACTCCATCTCACCCTAGTGAAGAAGACTGTGGCCAGGTCACCTGTGGGCCTGCTTAGTCTGCTGTTCAGGGGCTTGTTGTGGATGGGCAACTTCCAGGCCCTTGATCCAGGAGCAGAACCAGACGGGGTGTGTGTGTGTTGCTCATCAAGGTGCTATCATTTGGGGCCTAACCCCATCCACCTCACACACACCCCAATGCAGACACATAGTATTCCCCCCCCCTTGCCACTACACAGCACCAACACAGCTAAAAACACTGCTTTCAGAGTTTCCATTGTCATATTTGGTTCCTCTTTCCTCAGTTTTCCCCACCATGCTATACAAGAGGGATAGGTGGAACAGCAGGGCTTCTCCTTCACCTCTGTTGAAAGGACAGGCTGTTTAAAATGTATATCCTGCCCTTCTTTCTAAAGGAGCCACCCAGGGCAAAACTCACAAGCAATCAAAACAAGCACAACAGCCATGCAGTCAGGAGCATCCCAGACACTATGATTTCAGGGCTCAAAGTGGAGACCATGGGGCTGCCCTGTTGCTATCACAGGGGCAGGCCTTGGCTATTCTTCCACTGCTTTCCATCCTACTACTGAGTCCTGGAGATGGAGGTTAATTGGGAGAGGAATGGAGGGAGCAGAGTAAGGCAAACTCCTCAGAGAATCTATGCAGTAATTGGCAGCCAGCTTCTGTCAGGCTGAAGCTTTCAAGCTACATGCATAATAATAATAATAATAATAATAATAATAATAATAATAATGGCACTCTTGCCCACCTGGGCATTCACACCCTCCTCCTGCTACCTGGAGGGGGCCAAGCAAACCTGGAGACTTCAGATTAACCCTGGAGGTCTGGCAACCTTGTATGGGAGGTTTCAATTTTCCCTCCCTCTGTGGATCCCAACATGCCCTCTTACATTTAGTTCCTCTTCTATCTGTGCATGGTCTCCCCCAGTTGCAGCCTTACCAGCTCCCCAGAAGCCATTTCCCTGCTCAGCATAACCACTTTGATTGGGCACTGCCATTGCCTCAATTGCAGCTCTGAATTGATGGGGCTTAGAATTGCCAGCTGTAAAAAATTGGTGTGTTAAACTGCAGAGCATAAAAGGTGCCCCATAAAGAGGGAGGCTATCCCCACCCCCACAACACACACACACACCTTCTGCCATTTCTCCTAGTAAATCTCAGCATAGGTTTACG